TATGGAACTCTCTTAAAACCACAGCCCTGCTTGTCACTGCTCATGTGTATGTTTACAAATACTGTCCTTGGTGGAATGAAACGACCGTACCATCTGTCAGGTGATTGCTGTGCCTTTGAATGACACGTACTGTCACGCGCGGCAGATTAAGTGACCGATCGAGCGTTGTTGGGTTTCCTTCTCCACCGTGAGTATGAAGGAAATTAGCCTGCAGCAGCTGCCGAGTTCACTGTCCATCTGATTTACAAGAGGCTTTGGCATCTAATTGACCGGTGTCTGGAAGGACGACTTTGGGCTGATGACACCTCTCCTGTGAGCCTTTGCTTTGTCCGGTGGCATCACCCAGGCCCTGGGTGCCTGTCTCTCTCCTGACCCTTCACCTTGTAGGCTCTCAGGCCTTGTGCAGTGCACCGCAGTGTCCAAGGACCCGGTGTCCTTTATGGAGAATGCTGAGAAATGGGTAGCCTGGAGGCGGCCTTGCTCCTTGCTGGTTATCCAGCTCTCGCTGCTCTTGCGTGCCCGCCAGTCATGTGGGTGGATACCTGCCCCTCTGGAGGACGGTCCTTGGTCCCTGCCGCCTGCCGTGGTGGTGGGCGTTCTTGGGGCCGGGGTGCAGGTCACACAACAGACGCGCCTGCACCCAGCCCGGGGCTGGGTTCCCTCCGGAGGCTCCAGGGGAGAATCTCTGCTGCCTCTTGCAGGTTTTGGCAGCCACTGTCCCCCCCTTGGCTCACGGCTGTGTTGCTGCAGTTTCTGCCTGCACGTGGCCTTCCCTCTGTCTCTCGGTCTCAAATCTCTTTCTGTCCTGCTTTGTAAGGACACTTGTCATTGGATTTGGGGCCCACGTGGATAATCTGGATCTCCTAATCTCATAATACCTAATTACAACTGCATGGACCCTTTCTCCAAATCAGGTCACAGTCGCAGCATCCAGGGCTTAGGCTGTGGACCTGCCTTTTTGAAGCCACTGTGGAGGCCCCCACAGGGAGCCAGGTTGCAGCATTCCCGGGGGTCAGGGTTGTTGTTTGTTTGGGTTCTGCCTGGTGGATGTTGGTGGCCCTTCTGTTCCACGACAAACCCGGCTTAGAATCCAAGTATACTCCTTTGGCCTCTTGTATATTTGCTGTTATGATTAAAAGTCTAAATGGGGAACAATTCAATGGTTTTCTTCTCTTTTTGTTTTTTTTTTTTTTCTTTTCATGAAGCCAAACCCAGTTGGGCAGGATAAGATGTTATGAAGTAACTGACTTTATCTCAACCACTAGAATTCACCGACAGGAGGAGCCTTGTCATGTTGACCAGTTAAATAGTTGCTCTCGCTCTGCCCACCTGCTTGGTTGCGCCTGACCTCCTCAGAGCCAGGGACCGGGCTGGGGGGATCCGAGGGGCGTGGGGTTGGGGAGCTTCTCGCCTGTAGATGTCACCCGGGCCTGGTGGAAGAGAGCGCGGGCTAATACGTGGCAACCGAATTGCCACTGAACCCTAATTGTTGCAGAAATCTTTGTAAAGGAGTGATCAGTGACTTGCTAACCGTCTCTTCTTGTTGGAGCTGTTAGAGACAAAAGCGAGGGGAAGTGGATATGTGTATAACTGTCAGGTACTCCGCACAGGGGAGAGCTATTATCGATCAAGAACTAGGAAACCAAAGGAACTGTGAAATTGGAAGACTGCGTATCAGAATCACCTAATTTGAAAGATTAAACCAGAAGGACCTGCACAAATAGCATGACAACTTGGATACATATTTTATTTTTGATTCTGTAATGAACTGGATTTTTTAAGGAGATGGCTGTTTACAAAAGTAGTCTAGAAATGATTGAATCTGCATAGTTTTTTTTTTTTTTTAAGATTTTATTTATTTGACAGAGAGAGACACAGTGAAAGAGGGAACACAAGCAGGGGGAGTGGGAGAGGGAGAAGCAGGCTTTCCGCTGAGCAGAGAGCCTAATGCAGGGCTCGATCCCAGGACCCTGGGATCATGACCTGAGCCAAAGGCAGATGCTTAACAACTGAGCCACCCAGGCACCCCGCATAGTTTTTTTTTAGTGGCCAATTTTGCTAATACATTTATAGTAACTTTTTTTTTTAATTCTTATGTTAATCCCCATACATTACATCATTAGTTTTAGATGTAGTGTTCCATGATTCATTGTTTGTGCATAACACCCAGTGCTCCATGCAGAATGTGCCCTCCTCAATACCCACTACCAGGCTAACCCATCCTCCCACCCCCCTCCCCTCTAGAGCCCTCAGTTTGTTTTTCAGAGTCCATCTTCTCTCATGGTTCGTCTACCCCTCCGATTTCCCCTGCTTCATTCTTCCCCTCCTGCTACCTTCTTCTTCTTCTTTTTTTTTTTTTCTTAACATATATTGCATTATTTGTTTCAGAGGATTTATAGTAACTTTTTAAAAAATATTTTATTTATTGGGGTGCCTGGGTGGCTCAGATGGTTAAGCATCTGCCTTCAGCTCAGGTCACAATTCCAGGGTCCTGGGATCAAGTCCCACATCAGGCTCCTGGCTCGTCGGGGAGCCTGCTTCTCCCTTTCCCTCTGCCTCTCCCCCTGCTCATGCTCTCTCTCTCTCTCTCTCTCTCTGTGTCTCAAATGAATAAATAAAATCTAAAAAAAAAAAGATTTTATTTATTTATTTGAGAGAGAGACAGCACGAGAGCCGAAGGCAGATGCTTAACCGACTGAGCCACCCAAGTGCCATCAGTAATTTGGTTTTTATTTATTTATTTATTTTTATTTTTTAAATTTTTTTAAAAGATTTTATTTATTTATTTGAGAGAGAGAGACTGAAAGAGCACATGAGAGGGGGGAGGGTCGGGAGGGTCAGAGGGAGAAGCAGACTCCCCGCCGAGCAGGGAGCCCGATGCGGGACTTGATCCAGGGACTCCAGGATCATGACCTGAGCCGAAGGCAGCTGCTTAACCAACTGAGCCACCCAGGCGCCCAGTAATTTGGTTTTTAAAGAGCAGTGGATTTAGAGTCAACTTGCAGTCAGTACAGTTTGATGTCACCGTCATTAGCTAACGGGATGGGGAGCAGCAGGTATCTGGCATGTGTTGGAAGTGTTGAGCAGAGTCACATGCGTAGGCTTCTTACTTTGCTGGTTCTTTGTACTTCCAGGATGTGGTGGTGATCTCACTGAACTGGCAGGGACCCAAGTCCCTGCTCACCCCTGTGACCAGGGCAGATGGGGTGGTAGCCTAGCCTGTGAGCTGAAGTTTGGCTCAGAATAGGCCCCACTGAAGTGAGGTTGGTCCATTTATGATGGGGCCTCAGGAAGAGGAATTAATTCAAGACCAGATGCTAACTCTGGACATTTCTCCCCCTGTGACTGAGGATCTAGCAGGACGGACGGGAGACCGTCGGGCAGAGGAACAGGACCGCCTGACTGGGGTGAGACGAACGTCCTTCCTCTTCCATGTTGGGCGCTGCCCGCACATTCCCTCGGCTGCGCCGTGGCCTAGCTGACCATCGAGCCCTCTATGCTGGGCTCCAGCCAGAGCCCTTTGGTGTGCGTGTGTGATGATCTGCCTTGGGCAGATCCTGGCCGTGACAAGGGCATGGCAGCTCACCCCCGTCCCCCAAGTAAGCGGGGTCCCTTGGGAGCCCCAGCTGCTCTGCTGCAGCCTGGCCTTCTTCTGTGGCTTCGACACGGCCCGTGTCCGCGGGCCCCCCTCGGCTTCTCTCTCCTTGGGGACGATGTCTTTTACCGTCCCTGATGGGGCATGGGCTTCCCTTCCTTCCAGGAGTGTGAATCCCCCCTCCAGGCTGCCCACCCTCCCTGTGCCTGGGGCCCAGATGGGGAGGGCTGCCTGGCTTAGCAGATGTGGCTGGTGGTCTAGGGACCAGACGGGGTCACCCCGTTCCTCTTCTGTCCTCACCGCAGAGGGGAGCGGACAGCTCTCTGCTGCCCGTGAGGAGGGCCTTAGGAGGCGGAAGGCTGTGCTCATGCTCCGGTTACTGCCTACACCTTCTGGTTTTTCTCCTCCCGCATCACCAGCGTCACCGCCAGCGCCAGGTGGCGGGCAGAGGTGGGGTGGCTCCTGACCCCGGGGCTGGACTGTTTCAGTGTGACTCTGGTCAGGACGGCTGTGCACTGGGGCTGGAAAGCGCCTTGCTGGGCTCCCAGTCCGACCGGCTTGCCGAGGGCCCTGTGGCCTCCGGCTGAGAGCCGGCCTTCCTGGAGTCCTGATATGCTGCCTCCCGGGGAGCCTGCGGCCTCTGCCAGTCGGGGGCTCGGCGGAGCCGGGGTGTCTGACGGTGCCTCTCGCACGGCGGCCGTCGCAAGTCTCACTGTGTGTGGCTTTATTCGTAATTCTCAGTGAACCGATGAAGTTTAATGGTACCATTAAAACATGCTGAGTCAAGCCTGAAACCGTATTTGAGAAAATGACTTTTCCCTAATCCCAGGTTTTCCTTAGTGTCTTCATTGCTTTCACTTGGCCAGTGATAGAGAAGGCGGAAGAAGGAACGGCACAGAAAATTGGGCCTGGCCGGTTTCCCAGGTACACAGAGTCACATATGTGAAATGTACCGTTTGTTATGAGCGGAAATGTAGCTGGAGAAAATGTGTGTGAATAATACCAAATTGAATTCCACGTGCATCCTTCATTATCACTAACACCAAGCGTCATTCCTAGTGTTTTCCTAATGGATGTGGGTAGATGTGGGCAAGAGACAGCGTGCTTACAGATCTGCACAAAGAGCCTCGGGGAATCGGCGGTCGAAAGGATGGTGTCGGTCTTTAAAAGAAAAGCCGCTGCTGCCTTGAGCCAGAAGGGAGATCCATAGAGGAGAGGGTGCTGGTTAGGTTGGCAGGGGGGTCTCAAGGTGGGCGGCTACTTCCCTGCCCTCCGAACTTCTGTGTCGTGCCCTCCTGCTCTGGTTCCTTCTGCGTGACCCTGCCTGGCCGAACTGCTCCCTCGTGACATCTGCAAGGTGGGTCTCGTGTAAGTCATGCACCGACGTGCGTTGTTTCCCTTCTAGGCAGCCTCGGTCACCTCTCTATCCAGCGTGGCGTGTATGCACATGGTTCGCTGGGCTGTCTGGAACCCCTTGCTGGAAACCGGCTCCGGGAAGGTGATCTTACCTCTGCAGGGTGGGATCCGGCCCAACCCCTCGCGCTGTCTGGTCTATAAAGTACCCCCGGCCAGCATGAGCTCCGAAGAGGTAAGTTGTTCAGATACTTTGTGAGTATGACTCTTTGCCCGTGAGCTTCTAGCAAGTTCATACATTTTCAAAACCAGAAGTTGACAGTTAGGTTTGTGGATGTGTCATGAGCAGAATTTTTTCATCTCATGGATGTGCCCTTAAAGGATGAGCATGATTGCTGACTCACGTCAGCTGTGAACTGAGGTGGGTTTTTATCTTGGGGCTTAGGACATCCCCATTCACACATCAGTCTCGCAAGATGGCCAGAGGGCCTGTGGCTTTTATTTGTACACGCTGTGCAAACAGGGTCCACTTCTGTGCTGTGCGTGTCCATGTGGAGGATGGGCCTTGTGCGGTGCCAGGGCCGTGGTCAGCGCCGGGCAGTGGGAGTCAAGCCTGGCTCATCTCTGTGACTAGTTTCTCGTGCCTGCTGGCCCTTGGCTCCTTCCAGCTTTGCATGGAGGGCAGGCCACAGCAGGAGTTTAAAAATCCATGTTTGGAATGAAACTTTCTCTGAACCCTGGTAGAGAAGACAGGTACGGGGGGGCGGGGCCGGTTGAAGGGTGTGCGAAGGCTCTGCTCTGCCGGCCACTGCCAGCCTTGCCCGATGGGTGGCAGGGACCCAGGGAGCTGCAGGTACCACGGGAAAGTGCTGCTGGCGACGGAAGCCCATCCCGATGCCAGCGTCACCCAGTGTCGCATGCAGGGTGCTTGGATCTGCCCGCGCTCCTGAACCGCGCTCCGTCTGTCTCACGGTGTGGCGAGGAGCCTTTTACTGCTCACCTGTCTCATTTTTCTTAGGTGAAGGGACCGTCCCTGGCCCTTCAGTGAGTCGTCTGTGTGCTGACCTAGCGACAACGTTATTTTCAGTGTTGTTATTTATGATGTGGGTAATGCTTTGCAGACCTGGATAAGGGAACAGCTGATTGTGCAGCTTTTCTTATTACGGACTGTCTCATTATGGGACCGCATTTTGCTGCATTCCCTCACGGACTAGTCTGAGCCCTTATTGTAAAACTGCCATTAGAGATCCTGAAGCCGTTGCCTCTCTCTCTCCCTCTTGGTATGTATATACGTATGTATTTAAATATTTATTCTTTTTAATTTTAGCCTTGTCATGCCATGACATTCCCTTCACTTTCTAAGTGTGTAAACTGTATTGGGGGATAAGTGTTTGGAAGACTTGACTATCTTGAGGACACAAATATATCAAATACTGCCATTTTTCACAAGGAATGTCACTTCTAATTGGGGTTTCTCAACCTCAGTGCTGCTGACATTTTGGGCCAGATAATTCTTTGCTGTGGGGATTGTCCTGTGCTTCAGAGGATGTTTATCCCCAGCCCTGGCCTCTACCCGCTAGATGCCCATAGCGTGCCCCCACCTGCAACACACTGAGTTGTCTGTGGACATTGCCAAATGTCTCCCGAGGGCAGAATTGCCCCTGGTTGAGACCACTATTCTAAGCATCTATAACTAACCTAAAATAATGAACCAAAACTGGTCAGAAACTTAATTCTGCTTCCTCCTCTGCTTCTTGCTGCGTTTGTCTTCTCCAGCACCGTCAGCCTCTGTCCAGGCAGACGGTGTGGAGGCCCATGTGTGCCTCGTCTCTGCCCCCACCCGGGCCATTCTGTGTCGTACTCGTCCATTCAGTGAACTTCTACTGAGCACCTATATGTACCCTTGGAAAAGCATCCCCGATCCCATGAACTTACCCTTAAGGGGAAGTGGCAGATATTAATCAGAGGAAAATATAAATATTAGAAACATCCCATAATTTTTGGCTAAGTAAACTTGGGGGTTTGTGTTATGATTATTTCAATGTTATTTCCTGTGTAAGTAAGTAGTGTATTATGATTGTTTTCTTTCTTAAACAACGCCTGTGTTTTTCCAAGTAATTGTCTTTTAAAAAACTTTTATATCTCCAGAGGCAGCCACTTTCAACCCTTAGCTGTGACTTATGGTGTTTACTTTGTTTCCAAATATTATGCTTCTACTGCTATTTCTTAGTTTATCAATTTTAGATATTATGTATTGACTTCCAATAATGATAGATGAGAACTTTAGCTTTTTGATACACTCCTACGCTCTTTAAAGAAACCACTCTGTCCTCCTACTGTGTGGCCTTGGATTCAGGGACTGTTTGTTGCCAGAAGCGTGCAGCACAATGGGGTCTGGCTCGAGGGTTGTGAAGCCCCAGGGAACTGGACCAGTCTGGGGAGGCCACGGAGAGGGAGGGGCTCGGGAAACAACCCCATAACATTGTTTAAGAAATGCAGGGTTAACCCTCAGGCTGCACATGCCTGAGTCTGACCCTGAACTGCTGTACCAAAGACCCAGAGAACTGACTGGATACACCAACCCCATCCCAGGGTTGCCCTGGGTGGATCACATGCAGGAGGGATCCGAATAGTTCTGCACGGGTTTGACAACCCATAGAAGGCTGGTTGGAAACTGTGGCCTGAACCTATTGTGCTGGTTTCTGACGAAAGCCTCAGGAAGAAATAGAGGATGTTTTGGACTGAACAAAAATGAAAATACATCAAAAGGTGGAGGGTGCAGCTGATGAGTGCTTCCAGGGAAATTGATAGCATCAGGTGCTTGTATTAGTACAGAAGAATGGTCTCCATTCAGTAATCTTATCTTCCACATGTAGGAGCAAGAGAAAGAAGAACAAACTAACCCTAAAACCAGCAGAAGAAAGTGGTAATAAAGATAAAGAGCAGAAACCAATGAAATTGAAAACAGAACAGTACAGAGACAATAGAGAACAAAAATAGAGAAAATCAATGAAACCAAAAGTGGATTCTTTGAAAAGATCAATAAAATTGATAAATGTCCAGAAAGAGCTACAACAAGAGAGGACTCAAATTGCTGATGTTAGGAGTGGAAGAAGGACCATCACTGCTGGCCCCACAGGCATCAAAAGGACAGTAAAGGAACACTGTGAGCAACTCTGTGCCTTAAATTTGGCAATTTAGATGAAATGGATCAATTTATCTTAAACCAGAGATTATCAAAACTCACCCAGGATGAAGTAGACAAACTGAGTAGTCCTATGACTATTACAGAAGCTGAATTTGTGGTTAAAACACTTTTGAGAAAGCAATATCCAGGCCTATTCACTCTGAATTCTACCAAACGACTTAAAGAAGAAAGAAGAGCAGTTTTATTCAATCTCTCCCAGGAAATAGAAGGATGGGAACAATTCCTAATTCACATAATGGGGCCTGTACTGTCCTGATAACAAAATTAGAGAGAGACAGCATAAGAAGACCATGGACACATGTCCCTCATGGACATGGCTGCAGAATCATCAACAGAACACTCATAAATTGAATCCAACAATATGGAAAGAAGACAACACCATGACCAAGTGGGGGTTTGTCCGAGAAATGCAAGGTTGTTTTTGTTTTAAAAATTAATAAATATAGGGGCGCCTGGGTGGCTCAGTCGTTAAGCGCCTGCCTTCGGCTCAGGTCATGATTCCAGGGTCCTGGGATCGAGCCCCGCATTGGGCTCCCTGCTCGGCGGAAGCCTGCTTCTCCCTCTCCCACTCCCCCTGCTTGTGTTCCCTCTCTAGCTGTCTCTCTCTCTGTCAAATAAATAAATAAAATCTTTAAAAAAAAATTAATAAGTATAATTCACCATAGTAGAGCCTGAAGAAGGTAAACTGTATAATCATAGCAATTGACACACACAAGGCATTTGACAAAATTCAACATTGATTTATGATAAAAAAAACTGTGAGCAAACTAGGAGAAGAGAAGCCCCTCCTTCTGCTCGGGGGCATCCACACAAACCCGTCAGTGAGCATCCTACTGAGTGGTGAGAGGTGGGGTGCCATCCCCCTAAGATCAGGGACAAGTGAGGGATGTCCACTCAGCATCCAGAATCTTGTTCAGCATCGTACCCGAAGTCCTAGCCAGGGCATGAAGGCAAGAAGACAAAATAAGACACACAGATTGGAAAGGGAGAAATAGAACTGTACTTGTTTGCAGATACCATTGTTGTTTGTGTGGAAAATCCCCAGGGATCTACAAAAAAACCCTGCTAGAATAAATTAGTGACTTTATTGAGGTTGTGGGAGACAACAGGAGATCAAGATAGAAAAATCATTCATTTCTGTATGTTAGCAATGAAAAGTTGACAAACAAAATAAAAAAAAAAGCAATATTACTTACAAAGCCCTTTCCCTCAACGAGATAAATCTAATAACAGGGTGTTTACGGGATCTGTCTGCTGCGAACTGTAGCATGTTCCTTTTGCTGCATGTCACTATTCTTGTCGTGGTTACTCTTGGTCTTGGGTGAGATCACAGAGGACCTACGTAACTGGCGAGACACGACATCTTTATGGATGGGAAGATCCAATATGATAAAGATATAAATTCGCCCCTAATTCATCTATAGATAATGTAATTTTAATCAAAATCCCAGCAGGGTTTTTTTTTTTTTTTTGTCTACATATAGAAAAACTGATCCTAAAATTTATACAGAAAGGCACAGGAATTAGAAGAGTCCAAAGAATTTTGACCAGAGCAGTGAAGTTGGAGGAATCACACCCCCCTGTTTGACATTTAGAGTAAAGCTTCTGCAGCCCCTCTAAAGGGCTGTGTGAGGGATTGGCACGTAAGTCAGGGGAACAGAACAGAGAGTCTAGAAGTAAACCACAGTGTCCTATAGAATGAACTCCACACACACCACATGACCCAGCAGTCCTGGTCCCGGAGACATGAAGACTTAGGTTCACACAGAAACATGTGCCCCAGGGTTTGTAACCACCCGCACTGAAAAGAGCCCAAAAGTTGCTTAAACGTGTGAATGCATGAATAAACCGTGCACGTCGTACCATAGAATGCCGCTCAGCAGGAAAAGGAACCGACGACTGATATGTCCTACTGCTTGGATGAGTCTCATCAGCATTGTGTGGAGTGCAGGAAGCCAGGCTCAAAAATGATCTGTCATATGGTTCCATGTATATGACATCCTGGAAAGACCAGGCTGCCGTGATGGAGGGCAGCTCAGTCAGTGACGGTGGGGCCAGACGGGGGCAGCACGAGGGAGCATTTGGGTGATGCACCGCTCTGCGCCCCGATTGTGGTTGTGGTTACATGTGTTAAACAGAACGATACACCCACATTTAAAAGGTCAGTTTTACATAGGGTTGTTTAAAAACACAGGCAGACCTGGAGAAATGGGATTTCTGCTTGTGTAAGAGTCTGCCCTGCTAATGTGGTCTTCTGGGATGTTAATGCCACGGCTGACTGTTTCTGCTCAAGAAGTGACTTGATTATAATCTAAACACACGAGGCTTCAGCCGTCCCTGGGTTGATGTCGACTTTGGGCTGGGGGACCCATTTCTGGCTGTAACACAGGGGCACTGGTGAAGGGAGGTGGCTGCCATTGTTCTCACTGTGTCAACCGTAGGTGAAGCAGGTGGAGTCGGGGACCATCCAGTTCCAGTACTCGCTGAGCCCCGAGGGACACCTGGACACAGCCACGGGGCTCGTCCACAGCCCTGAGGCAGAGCGGCAGCCTTCCAGGAGGCCACCCACATCCCCTGCAAGTAAGTGTTTGCAGAGAACTGACTTTTCGAGCTCATGGCATGACTTTATCTGTTCCCGAGGAAAAATACTTAGTCCAGTACGGTAACATTTATTCGGTAATTGCCACAGATGGCTTTAATTTGGGTCCGTTGGCTGAGCTTTTGCTTAATATGGAGGTAGAGAGTTGGACAGTGCCAGAGTGTGGCCCAGCACCCTGTCACCTGTTTCTCACAGCCCTCTGACCTAAGGCCTGTGGAAGCTCTGCCGGTGACACTCAATGGGGCAGGTAGCATGGGGCCCTGCAGACGCGGGCTCGAGAGTTAGAGCGTGGCCAAGAGCCACGGGCTGCTGTCTCTGGGGCTGTTAATGTGCCGGCCATTTGTTGTTCTGGAAAGTTGCTTTCTACTCCCTGGAAGCGCTGTCCGGGAGTAGGGTGTCTGATCTCAGCTTATGGCTTTGAGAAAGGGAGCGAGGGATACCAGCAGAGCGACGTCCTTCCTGGGGGCAGTGATGTGTCCGCGTGGGTGCGGGGAGCGAAGGAGCGATGGCTGCTGGGCTTGTGTCTGGCTGGCTCAGCGCCGCTTGGCCTCCGCCCAAGGACCCCTGAGCCAGTGTCTGACGGGGAAGCCCACCTGTCAGGCCCCTGCAGGGGTTTCGTCAGAGGGGTGTTGAAGAAGTTCACTCTGCAGGGCACTGAGCCCTGGCCTGAGGCTTCTAGAGATCACTCCAGCTGAAAGAATGTTCTAGATCATAGGAGGTTCATCTCTTAGAAAGTTAGGAAGGTAGGGAATGAACAAATGTGTAAGCCTGCAGAGGGGAGCTTAGTCCTGGTCCGTCTTCCCGATGGACGCTGCTCGTCTCCAGGGAGGACCTGCCGGTGTCTTGGCTGCAGGCGCTGGAGCAGAGGCACTGGTGGGTCTGGGACTCGTTTGGGACTGATTTTTTATGAGCTGAGATTCTAGTTTATGGAAACTGGTCTTGTTGAATTTAATTTGACAATTGGTGGAAGCAGTCCACTTATTTCTTTGGCCTGGACCTTGACACAGTGGCCACTGTCTTCATGGTCTTCCGTTTTCTGAGATACCTGAATGTATTCAGGTACCAGACAAATAGTCCGTTGCTTTGGGACAAACCACATCATTAAGCATTTTCCTACTTCTCAAAAAGGCAGTGCATTTGATGGTTTTAGTTGTTCTTTCAATTTTTGAATATCATGCTCGCCAGCTTGTTCCCAGGATTTCTGTTTACCCCCAGAGTGTCTCTTGATAACCAGTCTTTAACGTCCGCGGCCCCACTGGCTGTGGGGCTGTTGCCAGGATATCCGCTGGAGTCCCTGCAGTGGTGGGTGGAAGGCATGTATTTTCTGTCAGGGTCCATGTAGAGCGTTTCCAGTTTTTCTTGATAAAGTTGAACGCCTTGAAGGCATGGAATATATCGTTTAAAAATACTAAACAAAGGGTGCAATTTATTTCCCACCCATTCTGTAAATCTAGCATCTTCCCTTCCTTGACGTATATTCGTAGTTACATTTTATTTTTTAATTTTTTTAAAAGATTTTATTTATTTATTTGACAGAGAGGGAGAGACAGTGAGAGAGGGAACACAAGCAGGGGGAGTGGGAGAGGGAGAAGCAGGCTCCCCGCCGAGCAGGGAGCCCGATGCGGGTCTCGATCCCAGGACACTGGGACCATGACCTGAGCCGAAGGCAGACGCTTAACTGACTGAGCCACCCAGGCGCCCATAGTTACATTTTAAAAACAAAACAAATACCGACCTCTGAGAAAGGTAAATATGAAAGATAATGTCTCAGATTATAAAAACAGGTAAACATTGTGATTAAATATTTTTGATGAAGTTACTCAAAAAAGGACTGTAATGAAAGGCAGTAGGCGTAGTTCCTCTCCGTCTGCGGAAAAGCCTGGAGAGATGGAGTCCTTGGAGGACACGCCTGCACAGCTAGCTTTGTGGGGAAGATGGAGTGACTTTTCCCAGAAAGGAGTTTTCAGGGGTTTAGTTTACGGTGCCTTCATGGTGCTGGAAACAAGCAGCTGGTTTCTTTGAAGACTTTCTCATCAAATTAATTCTAAGCAATGATGGGATTGCCTGGTCACTTGGCTGCCTCGGGCGCGCACCAGGAGTATGGGCTGTGGGCTTGGGCTCACCTTCTCAGTTGCCTTGACTTGTCGTGTGCAGATCTGGGATTTAAACCTGGTCTGCCACTCCCTCTGCTTCCTAGAATTATCTGTTAATTGATTTTTTTATTTTTTAAAAATATTTTATTTATTTGAGAGAGAAAGCGTGCATGCACGCAACAAAGGGGGGGGCGGGGGCAGAGGGAGAAGCAGGAAGCCCGACGCGGGGCTTGATCCCAGGACCCGGAGATCATGACCTGAGCTGAAGTCAGACGCTTAACGACTGAGCCACCCAGGCGCCCCCATTAATTGATTTTTTGCTTGGGATTCACGGAGATTCTTGGATCTCTGGGTTTATAGTTTTCATCACATTTGGAAAAATTTTTCATCCCATCCTTCAGTTTCCGCGTTCTCCCTCCTCTGCAGCCCCCGTCACACAAACGTCAGGCCTCTGGAAGTCCTGCTGCACGCAGCTCGCGGCGCTCTGTTCCTCGCACTGCTCTTGCTTTCTGCACTGGAGACGGTTTCTGTTGCCGTGTCTTCAGGGCCGCTCTCCTCTCTTCTGCGGCGTCTGGTCTCCCGTGCACGCCAGCCAGGCTGCTTCTCGTCACAGATGCCGTTGTTTCATCCCAGGAAGTTCTGTCTGGGTCCGTTTTACATCTTCCCTGTCTTCACAGGGCATGTTCAGTGTGTCCTCTAGCTTTCTGAACACATGAAATGTAGGTTGTAACTCCTTTAATATCATTGTTTGTGAATTCTGATAATCTTTGTTAGTTCTAGCTCAGTTTTTACTTATTTTTATTTATTTTTTTTGAGAGAAGGAGAGAGAGCGAGTGGTGAGGGCAGAGGGAGAGAGAATCTCAAGCAGACTCTGCACTGAGCGTGGAGCCTGATGCGGGGCTCGATCTCATGACCCTGAGCTCGTGACCTGAGCCAAAACCAAGAGTCAGACACTTAATTGACTGAGCCACCAGGTGCCCCAATTCTCGCTCAGTTTTGATTGGGTAATTTTTATCCTAATTTGGGTTGTATTTTTCTGCTTCTCTGCTCTCAGTATTTTTTATTGGATTACAGATATTGTGAATTTTCCTTTATCGAATGCTAAATACTTTTGTATTTGATAAATACTCTTGAGCTTTGGGAACAGTTTGATCCTTTTGGATCTTGCCCTTAAGATTTGTTGGATGGGGGGGCGCCTGGGTGGCTCAGTCGGTTAAGCGTCTGCCTTTGGCTCAGGTCATGATCCTGGGGTCCTGGGATCGAGCCCTGTGTCCGGCTCCCTGCTCAGCGGAGAGCCTGCTTCTCCCTCTCCGTCTGTCTGCCACTCTGCCTACTTGTGCTCTCTATCTCTCTGTCAAATAAATGAATAAAATCTTAAAAAAAAAAAAGATTTGTTAGATGGGACCAGATCAGCTTTTAGTCCCCACTGACAAGACCCCTTTGTGTCCTCTACCTGATATCTCCCGAATTACGAGGTTTTCCATTCTGGCCTGCGCAGTGGGCCTGTTTCTGGCCTCCTATAAGCACTAGGGACTGTTCCAGTGGCTCTTGCCCCAGCATTGGGTACTTTCCTGATCAGTCATCTGCTGGATCCTAGAGGGGACCCTCTGTAAATGAACAGAGCTCCCTTTCTGTTCACCTTGTCCTGTCTGGTGCTTGGCCCTGCACACTGGAGCTTCCTCAGTCTTGGACCCCCAGCTCTGTCTTCTCCATCAGGGGTCCCCTGTGCCCCATCTCCCTGCACCGTGACCGGAGACGCACTAACTGCTGTAAGCTGGGGCAGTTGCAGGGCTCCCTTCTTTTGTTTCCTGCCCCTCAGGATCACTGTCCTTTGTTGCCTGACTTCTATTGTCTTGAAACCTGTTGTTTCATGTATTTTGTCAGCTTAAAAAATTTTGTTTCAGATGCCTTTGTTTCTGGTCACTGTTTCTTGACTCCATGTTGGCCAGAAGTAGACGTCTTTGCCTGCTGTTCATGGTTTCTGGGCTGCTGAAGTCCTCCACCCCAGGGCTGATAGTCCCGTGGTTCTGAAAGTTTTCCCGGCTGCCTTGTGCTACCGTGATTCACTAGACATGCTCTGTGTTTTCGTGACCTTGAGTCGGGCTCATGCTCTCTGCTGGAGCGTATCTCCCCTGTGCACTGCATTTATTTTACTTTGAGATGGATTCTTTTCTTTTTTTAAATTAAAAAATTGCATGGTTAAGAACAGCCAAGGCAGTTTTGAAGACGGAAAGCGGCTTCACCTTTCCTGATTTGCAGATGTGTAGAGTTACAGTAATTAGAACAGCGTGGCATTGGGACAGAGATAGATAAGAAGATGCAATAAAGAGTGTGATGGATGGACAAGTTATAGATGAGTGTGTGCTTTACTATTATTGTCGTAACAAATTACTATAAATGTAAAGTGGCTTAAAATAGTACGAACTTACTATCATACAGTTCTGGAGGTGAGAAGTCCAAAATGGGTCTCACAGGCTGACGAAGAGGTCTTGGTGGGGCTGGTTCCTTCTGGAGGCTCCGGGGCAGGCTCTGTCTTCTTTCCAGCCTCTAGCGGCTGCTGAATCCTTTGGCCCCTTCCTCCCTCTTCAGAGGCACCGGGCAGTTTCCAGATCTCTCTCTGACTCTGATCTCCTTCCTCCCTGTCACGTATAAGGACTGTTGTGATTGCGTTGGGCAGACCCGATCATCCAGGAGTCTCCCCGATGAGCAGCCGTTGTTACAGGCTGTGCAACATCATTACATTGATGGGTTCTGGGGATTTCTGGGGTGGGAGCATTGTTCTGCTTACCAGCAGGAGTAGGGAGGGACCAGTCACTTAACCGTGCGGGAATGACTGTCCATAAGGGACATATAAAATTAGATCCTAATTTCATATCATGTGCAAAAAT